GCCAAGCGCTGGGGTGGGCGGGAAAGGTCATCGTCACTTGATGTTACGCCGAGCCTCCCGTGTCGCAGGATACCCCCCCCACCGTGGCAGCTGTCCCTGTGCGGCACACGGTAAACGTAGCGCCGGCGGCCGGCGAGTCGGCGTTACGGCGGTGGCGGGGCACAGTCTCGACTTCCGCCGCCGCACGTAGAACTGAGAGCCCCTTTTTATTTTGACTTCTTATATTTCCACCTCGCCGCAGCCCCCCCCACCCGCACCCGCCTCCAGCCCCTCTGATCAATTCCCCTCCTCACAGATGGAACCAATAAGACTGTCAAGGCTTTCCGCCCCCCCTACCTCACCCCCCCCCTCGCATTCACTCCCCACCCCTTCCCTCCGCAAACCCCCTACCCCCCAAAACCGAGCAGCGAGAAGACCCCCAAGGGACGCAGACTTCCGTAACGCAAACCCGGACGGGAAGCTCTGGCCGACCGGGAGTGCGAGTCAGAAATAACTATTTCCTCAATAAGCTACAGGACATTCGTCTTTATTATTTACGCCGTTTTCGCTGCCGCTGCTAGTAAGCCCGGGCGACCGGGCCAAAGCAAACACAGCTGGCAGGCTGGGCCGCCGCCGCCGCCGCGGGCCGAGCGGAGGAGAGGAGGGGCAGGGGGTGGCCAGGGAGCGCGGCGTACGTACGTACGCGGCCGCTGGGGGCCGTGCTAGCGTGTTGGCGAGCGCCTGCAGCGTGGCGCGACGTCGCAGAGGCCCGGCACGCACCACCCGCAGTCGACGCGGCCGCCGCACGTTGGCGGTTTTACAAGACGCCGCTGCCGAGGAACTGCGCTTCGTACAACGTTAAACCCTCAGTTGAACACGTAGCACTCGCACTGTAAATGTTGCGGATTTGCTCTCCAACACACAACCGGTGTGCTGTACCAGTAACGATTTGGCACATTCTGTTTAGGTGACAAACCTTACTAAGTGGCCGCGTTGGGTGGTGGCGGGTTTAACGACGCCACATTCATATTTACGCAATCTAACCCAAAGAAACTACACCGTGGTGAAACCCTCTCTGCCGAGGGGAGGCAAGTCACTTGTGCCCACGTAACCGCGGGGCGTCCGCGGGTCCCAGTCTGGCGCGATGTCCGGGTGTCGCTCCCAGGCGGCAAGTTTTGACGGCCGCGGCTCCAATCGCGGCAGAGCTCGGCGCGGCCCCTAATCGCGACTCGCGTGGAGAAACGTTCGCTAAATAATAAAACAAAAGGCCCAAAGACTCCGCGCCGGGGTTGACTCTCGGAGGAACGCGTGCGAAATTAAAACACAAACCGAGGAAACTGAAGACTGTGAAAGTGAAAGAAAGCAGCCTTGGTGGGTTTTTTTTGCCTGCCTGCAACTCGCGGGTGACAGACTGAACGCTCCTAAATGTAAGAAAGTAAAATGATTTTTTTTGCACTTTCAGGGGTCTCGTTGCTCGTCGGAGCGAATTAACGCTCCGCCGTGGAGAGAAAGGCGCAAGTCTGCTTCCAAGAAACGCGGCGGACTCCTGGAAAAGCCACTCCAGCGGGGGGGGGTGGGGGGGGGTTTCTCCGACGCAGAGCTCCAGACGGCCTCCTCGCGCGATCATGAAAGCCAAAGAGGGTGGCTTTTCATGGGCGGCTCTGAAAGGGGAGCGCTGTATTACATCCCTGCATTAAATCTCGAGGAGCAAAACCGGCGACAAGTTTTATATATTTTTTTAAGTGCGCTTCAATTACCCCCGCGGATTTGCATAAAAAAAACGAGCGGCAAAGGACGGCTCCATTTAGCGAGCGTTTGAAATCCATCTCCGCTCGACGCTCCGCGATTGTCTGGCAAATGACAGCCTGGCCAATTCATTATGTGGCTCTCTCGAGCAGACAAATGTGCGGCTGATGAAAGACTTTGGCGGAATAAATCAACGAGCCTGGCAAAGAGGCGGGGGGGCTGGGCTGTAGGCCTTCGCTAAAACTTTTTTTTTCACCCTGCTACTCCAGCGACTTCAACACAAAGGCGAACCTTGCAAAGGCGAGAGAAAAAGCGAGCCGGGTTTGAATTAACGAGCGATAATGGCCTCCGCCGTGATGAGGAGGAGGGCGAGGACGAGGACGAGGAGGTCGTGCTGCGAACGCCGTGGCCTCGTCTTCATCATGAAAGTCATGGCGCGGCCAGAGAAAATAAGTAAATAACCCTCGCTGGGGACCCGGCAAATCAACTCGCCGACACCGCCCTCGGCTACGGCGCCGGGTGGGCCTCGCGGCTCGAAAACGCCGCCAGCAGCCCCTTCAGGAACAGTTCCCGCAGAAGCTGCCACCACGTGGAGCGCAGCGCATCAAAACACGGATGCAAAGATCGCTTCTCCTGCCCCCCCCCGCCCCCGTATCGTCTTTAACAGGCTGTTGGGTGGCCAACACCACGCCCGGCCGTCTTTGTCTCCCCAGGGTTGATTTTTACCAACCGTACCCAGGTACTCATTGAAGGCCAAGTCACCCCTGGGGAGACCCAGGCCCGGTTCAGATATTCGCCACCGTTATTGATCGTGAATCGAACTCGGGTCGCCGTCTTCGTAACGAGGCGTGATAAACACTACACGACCGCTCCCCAATGGTATTAAAACACACACGAGCGAGCGTACGCATGCACGCATGCACACACACGCACACACGCACACACGGATGGCACGCATGCACACAGGTGTCATGTCTTAAACGGCAGCATGCACCGAAACATGGCGTGGAAGCTGCGAGAGCAGACATACCTAAGCCGGAGCGAGGCGAGCGTGGCTAGCACGTGATTTATTCCTCGACTCTGATTTTCAAATCCAGTGCTAATCCTTACAACAAAGCCCTGTTTATGAGCTTTAATTGGTCTCAGTAAATCAAACACTTTTCCCATCCGCTTTCGCCCAAGACTGCCAAGCCCGGTCTGGGCTTACAACCCCCAAAGACCTCGTCCGACCGTGTTCCTAATTTCCCACCTACTCCCGCGGCTTTCCACCGCCGCTCTCTCCCCAGCGCTCGGTCTCCTCCTCCCCCCTGCCCCTCCCTCTCCCCTGCCCCCTCCCCCCGTGGCCCCCCAAACCGGGGCAAGCTCCCATTCCCTATCGACCCCCAGGCCTGCTGCTGCTGGGTCGCAGCAGACAGGAACAGAGGAGGCTTTATTTTTCTTATTTCTCCGCAGGCCCTGAGCCGACAAATCTCCACGCGGGAGCCACGGGGGAGTCTCTGCATTCTCTTGCTTTTGGCTGCACCGCCGCGTGGGGGTTGGGAGGCTTCAGTTGGGGGGGGGGTGGAAGTAAGGAGAGGGCGGCACGCAGCCGTGGGCCCAGCTGTAGACTGGCTCAAGTGTGTGTGTGTGTGTGCGTGCGCTCCGTGTGTGTCTGTCTGTCTGTGTGGGGAGCGGTGGTGTAGCGGTTAGAGCGCTGCGCTATGAACCCGGCGACCCGAGTTCACGGCCACCAATGCAAGTGACGATTATATGAAACGGTCCTGGGCCTCTCCTAGGTCGACTCAGCCTCAAATGACCACTAGGGAGACAAATGCGGTCGGGCGTGATGCTGGCCACCCACCCCCCTCGTGTACCGTTCCGGCCTTCATAGGTGCTACTCGCTATCAGCACTTGCCCTAACAGTCTGGTAAGGCGAAATGGGGGACGTTTATCTTTGTTTGTCTGTATGTATGGGAACATAAAATTGGCCAAGCATCCGATAGCAATGCCGCCGCGACCGTTACAGTCAGACGGCGACACCGACGTTAGAGGGAGGCAATTTTAGTGAAAAATGCAACCACACAAACGGCAGAAGAATCGAAGTTCACGGGGAAAAACTTTTAAATGAAAAACGGCGGCGCACCGGTCCCGGATTCATTATTCCCCCGACGGCGGACGGTAGTTAGGGGAGAACGGTGATGAATGCTCCTCGTGGCGGCAGCTGTTAGCGGCGCGTTTGCCGCACGGCCGATATATTTCATCACCGCGAGCTGCAGCGCCGCCGCCGCCGCGGCCCCCCTTTCCCGCGAGCGTGCCCCGACGTTTTCAGCGGCCCGTTTAAATCTCCCTTTTAAGCCGGAGCTTATTTTAACACGGCTTCAATCACGCAGCACGTTGCAGGGGATGGGGGGGGGGGGGGTTGGCGGCCGAGCGGGGATAACGGGAGTGGGAGGGGGGGAGAGGGGTGAGCTCGTTCTTGCGGCAAAGCCCCCCCCCCCTCCCCCCGCCGCCGGCGCGGCAGCGCCGCGATGCGTCGTAAAGCAGTCGGCCACCGTGACACGTGCGCGCAAGCAAAAAAAAACAAGCAGCGCGGCAGTTTTGGTAAATTATTCTTTACGACCGCGCTTCGTGCGCCGGCTTTTGCCACGATTTATGAACTCGCACGCAGACGCGTAAATTCACCTCACTGGCGCGATGACCGGCCCTGCCGGTTGGCGGCGATACGAGGAGGTGGGGGGGGGGGGGGCGGGGAAGACTTAAGCAAAAATAATAATTACGCGTTACAATTCAATTAAGGCTCCATTTTATTCATGCCGCCGGTGTTAGCCGCTTAGTTTGTGGGTGACCCGGCGGTGACCCCCGAGGAGAGCCGCGTCTCCCCGCTCGGCTATTCCGGCCCGCACCGAACGCTCCATCCTGGTAATTGGGCGCTTCACGCCGGCTCACGGCTCCCGCCGGCCTCGGGGAAAGATCCCCCCTCTCCCTACCCCCCCACCACGTCCCCTCCCCCACCCCCACCCCGGCACAGCCCCCCGCGTGCGTCCAACGTTCGACTGCCCCTCGTCCCCGCCCGGGGGGGGAGGGTGTGGAGGGAGGTGCGTTTAGCCCCCGCGCGGTCGAGCCACTCGCCGTGCTGCCATCTGCTGGGGTCCACCTCCCACCAGGAGCTGTCGGCGCTCGCAAAAGTGCCGTCGTCGCGTTTCGATTCTCGCGGCACGACGACCCGCGCGGCGCCACACGACAAAGTTGGGGGGGGGGGGGGGGGGCCGGGTCGGGGGTGCTAAATTGATACTCACGATGTAGCCTCTGTCGGACGTGGAATGCTGCGAGCTCTGCGGAGAAAGCAGACGGGAAGTCGGAGTTAGTCGCCACGGTCTCCACCACCCCCCGGCCCACCCCACCGCTCCCCGGCCAGTAACCCCGCTGCCATCATCATCGCATCCTTAATAATAATAATAATAACTCTACAAAGCACCGGCTCTCATTCCGACGTTCCGCGATTCATCTCCGCCACCGCCGCTCGGCCAAACGCGCGGCCGCACGGCCCTCCCATTTGCATTGCAGACGCCGGCTCACAAAACGGAAGAAATTGCCTGTCCCAGTCAATTTCCTTTACCTAATGAACGTGAAATGGCAGTGTGTGTTCTTGCAAAGAGTGCTCGCATCCAAATCGCAATCTGTTACTTATACATTCTGATGGGATCTTGGCTCCGGGAAGTTGGGCCCGCCCGCACGCACGCACGCCCGCACGCTCGTGAGAGCGAGCTCCGCCGCCGCCGCCGGATCGGCGCGGCCGCGGGGAGACGAATGACGGCGAGCGCCGGGGCCTTTCGGAAGAGCCGACAAAAGCGTGCGTTTACGTTCGCACGCGCGGGAGGAAGAGGAAAGCGCTCCCGCGCTGTAGGGGAATTATAAATCAGTGCGCGGTGCGGGCCACATTTAATTACCTGCACTCGGAGAGCCGTCGGGCCCATTTAAATGGTAATAAACCCGATCCGTGCAATTTATTACGCCGAGAACATTACGGGAGACGTGAAACCACACGAGGGGGTCGCCGGGTCACAGAATGTCAGATCGCTCGAGTTTCTCGTTAGATTTGAGCGCAACGGCGGCCCGGCCGCGGTGGGCTAGAGTGGGGGGGGGGGGGGGGGAGGGAGGCCGCCCCTGCCCACGTGGCCGCGGGGGGCGCCGGGGGTAATGGGGACATAATCCAAACGAGCCACCTTTCGCGAAAACGGCCGCGGCAATCCGGCGGCAGCGCGAGCCGGAAAGACGAACACGAGCCAATCCTCGAACGCTCGTGGCGGGAGAGGGGGGTGGTGATGGGGGGAGGGGGGCCACGGAGCGGGGGGGGGGGGCGCAACTCGGAAACCCAAAGCGGCCGAACGGCGCCCGCGAGGGCTTTGTGTTCGTTTTTCAAAGGGGGCGGACGATTGTAAGCAATACGCAGATAGAGGTCCAAGCGCGGCGCGAGCCAGCGAGCGGTGTGCGCCCATTCCAATTACGTTTCCCATCAGTTAGCCCGGCGGAGAACGGCGCTTAAATTCAATTACGGGCGGTTGCAAACCTACGGGGTGGGCTCCGTCGCCGTGCGAGGCAGGAGCCTGCAGAAGGCCCCCGGAGCCTCACAAGAGGCCGGCCGATGTTCGCTGGGTGGCATTAACCGAGCCGACGCGTTCGCCAATGTTTATAAAACAGGAAACAGGAGAAGCCGTGTTTTTCTTGACCGGCCCCTGCTGAATGGCCGGCCCCATTCAGCCCCCCCCACCCCCTTTACCAGTCCATTAGCGGAGAGGCTTAAAAAAACCCACATTGCTTTACTTGTTTAAAGAACGGCCTCAAGCCACACTGGAGCCGAGATAATGTAAGTATCAGGCTTCGGTGAATGGGAGACGACAGCGGAGCATTGTCGAAACCAAATCCATCTCTCATTTCCCAACAATAGTCGGCACTTGCACCCAACAAATCAGGCCGCTCGGCAGCTGAAAGGAGTAAGCGAAGGTCACGCTTTTGTGTTGTACAAGGGAACAGTTTTCTTCATTATTCCGGACAGGGCCCCCCCCCGTCCCCCACCCCCCCCAGCCCCCACCCCCCCCAGCCCCCACCCTCGCGGTCCCACTCACCGTTACTCAACGTCAAGGATAATTCCTTCGAGTGGGGGGTGCCTTTGTTCGGCGCTGCGATCATGTTCCACGCTAATTATTTTAATGCTCGCTCGTTTTTTTTTTAACGAGTTCTCTTCTGGAACGCGGGGCCTGTCCTCTGTGCCCAGCGGCGCTCGACCTTTGTCGACGAACAGGTGAGGTGCCCCGGAGAGACGCGGGTGGGGGGGGCAATGTGCTAGACCTGGGGCGAGGAGGCGGGTGGCTGGGAGAGTGTGGGGAAACGGAACTCCCAAGTCGCGCGACGAAACCCGGGGAAGCTACTCAGCGACGCGTCAACGACGGCGGCCGTGCGTCCAGCGGCCGACCGGACCGCCGGACTTGACGGGTGCGGGGCGGCCGTAATATTTGGTCGGTTCTTGAACGCCGTACGAACAAACCAAAGAACATATGGCTGAACAGCCGCGGTGGTGGGGGGGGGGGGAACGGCGACTGGGGCCGCACGCCTGCCCGCTCGCGAGAAACTCGCCGGGGTTAGCGCGGCAGCGCCGTGAAAAACGAACCCCGATCGCCTTCAAAGAGCGGGGGCCGGGAAAACATCAATCACGCGTTCTGACAGCTTCTGGCGGCACGGGCCGGCGAGCGCCGGCGGTGCGACGGGAAATAAAGGCCAACGAGCGTGTTGGCCTTCACACCCGGCGTCTCTCACGCACGCACGCACGTGCGGATGCTCGTTTTTGTTTTTTTTGCCGGGGCGTCAACCGACCGGCAGAGATGCAGCCCCGTGGCAGCGGGAACTCGACTCGACCGCGGCGTCCGTGTGATTTATCCCACGAGCAAACAGACGAATATCCCCGTCCATTAACCCCCCCCTCCTCCTGCCCCCAGCTCCTCCTCCCTCCATCTCCCCCGCGGATCTCCGCGGCTTATTAAAGTCGAATAACAGCCACGAGGCACATAGGCCTCGCTTGCGCCCTTATTGCCGGAGCCATCTCCGGTGAGGATTCGATGATAACTTGCCGATAAGATTAACCTTTTTCAATGAAAAGTCACAGGAGTCCGCTGCGTCTTAATCTGGAGCCGAACGGCAGTTAAATCGTATTTTAGCGGTGTGCGTTTAACCTTTGCGCACAAAAATACACGGAGGCTGCGGCGCGATTTAGATGTGTTAAGGCGATTAAAAAGAAAACATCCCTCTGTTACCGCCCGCGCTGCAATCCGTGAAGCGACTTCAGTTTTCTTTTTCCTTTCCTGGGAAACTGATTTTGGTTTGAGGCGCGTTTGACGGCAAATTATATCCATTACCACCTTCGCCTCGCCCCCAGCTCTCCTCGCCCGCATCTGAACATGCCTCGCGGAAAAGGTCGCCGTCATTTCATTAAATATTTAAACCTCCTCCTCCACTTCAAGCTCCCCGCGATGTCGACGGAGCGAGACTCTTACAAAGGTCTGAACATGAAAAATTAAACACACCTCTCTGTACGGCGTTCCCACACTTCCTATCTCACTTCTCAAGACACGCATTCAATTTCATGGATAACAAATTTCACTCGCAACTTTTTTCTCCCTTGAACTTTCAAGTTAACCCTTTTTATTCGTTGTTTTTAATGTCTCCTTTGCCGGCACGACCTCGCGCCTGCAAACCCGGCACGACCTCGCGCACAAACGCTTCCGATCAGGTGCACGGCCGCTCAACATTCACCGGTGTGGGCTGACCGGTGTGGGCTGACCGGTGTGTGAGCTGACCTGTGTGTGCGTTACCCCTGCACGTCCTACAGCTGCCTACTCCTCATCCTCCTCGTCTTCTGCTGCCCACTGCTCATTGACTGCGCGAGGTTCCCTGGCTGGTCCCTCACGTTCCTCCCCCCTCACGAGCGGCGGCGGCATCATGAGCCTCAAGCCGGCCACCGATGGACCGCACAGGATACGGAGACGTTGCATTTGCTGTTGCACTAAATTTGCCTAAGTTCTGACAACGAGGGTGAAACGTCGATTTCACTGCCGTCCAAATTAACATTTCTCTGCTGGAGGTTGCGCGAGAAAGCACAGGCCCCGACCAAGCGTGGATCGGCACGCTTGGTCACGGGCGTCTCGGTGTGGGGCGAGACTCACGTCGCGAGATCGTTCCTGGGAGCTGCTCCGCCCCGTACCGTTCACCTCGCCGCCACCGTTGCCGCCTCCGCCGCCGCCGCTGTCTTCCGCCCTGGGGCGCACGCACCGCGTCGGCACGTTCGTCTGCGAGCGGCACGAACACGGGGCGCACGGGAGTCAAGGGGGAGCACCGAATACCGCCGCCGGAATCGAGATGGAAACACAACGCTCGCGCCGATCATTATCATCATTATTATTCGTTCTTATTTAACTTTTTTGCTTCGTAAATGCGGAGAGCACGACACTGATTGGGGTGGGGTGGGAGTCATAACCATTCACCTCCCTCCCCTACCCAATGAATTGTTGCGATCCGGGTGGGTGGGGGGGGTCACAATTTAGGGGCACGATCTGATTCACGAATCGATTGCATTCCGCCCGCGTGATGAATGGAGGAATCTGCGTGCAGTGGCCCGCAAGGCTTGGCGAGGTCACAAATCACAGACATCACAAAACATCAACAACAACAGCAGCAGCAGCAGCAACGGGGCACCTTATGACATGGAAGCAGTGATGAATTCTCACCCACGCTCGATCCGGCGTGTGGATCGTGAGAAATGGAGCAGCTTCTAATCGATACATCGGTGTTGATCATTACGGGATGAACATTAAGCGGCGCTCGGCTAACGGATCCCGGTTGGTGCAGACGCCCGCCACCGATCATTTCTCACGCCGCAAGGGAATAACGCCTCGTTCACACAAAGACAAAGATCCCCCCCCCATCCCCCCCCCCCCCCCGTGTAGCCTTCACAGACTGTTGGGGAAAGTGTCCTGTTACAGCGAGTGGCACCTACGAAGGTCGACACGGCACACAAACTCGAGTCGCCGAGCTCGGTGCGCATTCCGCTAACCGCTGTGCCACCGCTCCCTACTCGCACACTCACACCACACTCACACTGACAACGACCCCCCCGTATAGGATTAACAGGCCGTTGGGGGAAGTGCTGTTAGTGAGCGCCTATGAAGGCCAACACGACACACGAAGAGGTGGGTGGCCAACACCACGCCCGGCCGCCTTTGCCGCCCCAGTGGCGATGTTCACACACCGCACCAGACACTCATTTCAGACCGAGTCGACCTAGGGAAGTCCCAGGACAGGTTCAGATAATCCGAACTGGCGTTGGCCGTGAGCGGGAATCGAACCCGGGTCGCCTGGTTCGTAGCGTGGCGCGCTAACCGCTACACTGCCGCTCCTCACCACTGACACAATCGCGCACTCGCACACACAATCGCACACTCACACACACAATCGCACACTCACACACACACACAATCGCACACCCGCACTCCCTGCCCGAGTGCCGAGCAGGGTGACATCACCGGCCGAGGCCGCGCGCAGCACTTGCCTTTCACACAGTTCGTGACACAGTTTGTGCAGCTCTCCGTCGCGCCGCCCACGACACGCTATCGCACGGACCGTGAAGAAGCAGCCGAGCGAGGGATTACGGGGAAACTGACAGGGCGCAAAAAAAAAAAAACACGTTTGCGGCGGCGGAGGCGACGAGCGCGGAGGTATGCGCGCGGTTCCGCCGCTCGCTCCAGGCCGGCGGGGCTCGGCGTGTCGCACGTGATGGCCCATCAGTCAGCGGGCGGGGGGGGGGGGAGAGGGGCGATATTGGCCTAATCCGTCAGCGCTCTCCACCGCTCATCATTCAGCCCCGAGTCCCCCCCATCGCCCCCCCTCCCGCGCTGCCACTTCGACCCCTCGCCCTCCCTCTATCTTCACGAGGCGCCCGGCAGTCAAACCGCCCACCCCCCCCCCCCCTCTGCCCGGCCCCCTACCCCGACCTGCAGCTCAGCCCAGCCCAGGCGCGACGGGTAACGAGGTGCGGACCGCGAGGGCGCTCTCGTGTCAAACGCGGCGCCCTCCGTCGTTAGCGCAGATAGAGAGAGAGGCGCGCGTGGCCCACGGCATCCTGGGACGCGTGCCACCCACGGAGCATCGGCTCGATGACCGACGAAAAATCGATTCTCGCGTTTACGCACGACGGCATCCGAGTGTTGCGCGCGAGTCTGAACGGTGCGGCGAGCACGGGGACCGAGGCCAGCGGCGCGACCGCGAGGTTCTCGGCACGCCCGGTGGCCTCGGGCAGGGCGCTTGGCGACGTCTCCCCGCGGACCGCGCTAACCTTTCGCGCGCAGCCTCGCAAACAAATCAGCGGCCTCCGCCCTGGGGCGACCACGCGAGTGGCCGTCCAGACCCTCATTATCACCGCAAAGGACCCCACCCCCCCCCCCCAGCCGTCCCACGCCACCCCGGCAGGGTCCCCGGGGAAGCGTCGGCACAGCCACCTCGGCCCTCTCGTTAGCGGCTCAAAATAACGCAGACTAAAGGGCAATTAACAGGTGTGGGCCGTCTTGTTATCCTAATTGGTCGGCTCGCAGATTGCGGGAGGTCGTGTCCGGGGGGGGGGGGGCGGGTGGCGAGAGGGGGGGGGGTCCGTGACTGTCCCCACGTCGCGTCCTCCCTCGCCGTGCCGCAGTGCGGAGCGAGAGAGACGCGCGCGCTCTGCAATGGCGCGCGCCGAGCGGCGCTCCTGAGTTTGGACGCGCGACCCCCGCAACGCGGCGGGCTTCCGCGCCGGTGGCACCGTGGGGAAGATTTTTCTTATATTTGAGGTTTGTAAGAAGGGGGGGGGGGTGCAGCTGCGGGTAAAAAATGTGACGAGACGAGATAAAGAAACTCTGCGGAACGCCGACGGCCCCCGGCAACGCCGAGTAACGCCCGTGCCCAACTCGAACGCGGGTCGCTCGTCGCCGAGCCGAGCAGCAGCCACGCCCCCCTCTGTGCGGTTGGATTCTGCAGGGCCCTCGCTACATTTCACGGAATCCAAAGCACTGGCGAGCGGTCCGAGGTGTCCCATCGACGGGGCCCACTCCCCGGCACCGCCCTTCGCTCGCTACCGGGGGATCTGCCACCGCGGCCCGGGGGGAGGTGCGCGCCGCCGCGTAGTTTCACTTTTCGTGACAATGTGGGTGCAGAAGCGGTGGGCGCCCGCCCTCCGCGAGCGGTAAAAAACACGTCGTACGTCGGCTCGGCGACAAGCAGCGCCCGGCGCGACAAGCGAGGGCGCCGGGCGGCCTACGCTCCCTCACGACGCGGAGCCCGGCCCGGGGTTGTGGGTAGCGGTCACGTGACCCCCAGGCCTCTGCAGGAAGACCGTACCGGAAGCACGAGAGCACACGCGGCCAGAATCGTTCCCCTCTTATACTTTCAGGACCCTCCCCCACCCGCCAAAAAATAAAAAAGCACACCCAGGTTACGTAAACAAAGATGCCTAATAAAGCAGATTGTAATTGATTGTTAATTACCCCCATTTATTATAATTAGTTTCGTTTGATGAGCAATTAACTACACGCTCATTAGTAAATGTAGCAATTTGTTGAATTAGGCCGTCCGGCTGTAATGCACAGCAGCAGCGGCAGTGGCGGCGGGATCCGATGGCGCACGCGGCGGATTGGTTTCCTCCGCGGCACGGCCGTCCCTGCCTCCCCGCAGCTCGAGCCGTCGCACACCCCCCCCCCCCCGCTTCCTCTCCCCGTACGACTCGCGTTAATTAGGAGCAATGTTGAAGCGCGGCCGAAGTGCTCATTACTGCTGCAGCAAGTGTAATCATTTAATTGGCTCGCCTCGTTAAATAGGCCGATGCGCCACACTGCTGCTGCTGTCGCCGCCGCCGCTACGGCGGTGACGGTGGTGGCAGGTTTTACGACTGTCCTCGTTGTGGAGGTCACGCTCTGCATGCAGCGCACATCTCCGCGCTAAAAGCTTTTAAGGCCGAGCTAGCGAGCGAGCGAGCGAGCGAGAGAGCGAGCGAGAGAGCGAGCGAGAGAGCGAGCGAGAGAGCGAGCGAGAGAGCGAGCGAGAGAGCGAGCGCCGCCAATATGCAAATTCAGCCCTGCGCGGATGACTCACGCCGCCGCCGCCGCTAAGCGAATGCACGCCGCGTCTCGGCAATCCTGCCTAGCCAACGAGATCCCGGAAAAAGGTGAACACAGCAGGAGGGGGACGATGGGGAGTGGCGGGGGAGGGAGAGAGAGAGAGAGGAGGGAAAAAAAATGACGTGAAATTACACTCTCCGGGGCGCGCGCGCGCGGTCTGCCCGCAGGCTTTTCTCTATTCTCTAATCCCCCGTATTATCCATCGGCTGCAAAGCAACGAAGGTGGCTTACGCCGATAAGCGGCGGCGGCGGCGGACACTTCCCCTCCGCCCTACGGACGGCGGCTTTACAAAAGCTGCGCGCTCCGAGGCTCACCACGGGGATCGGCTCGCTCGCGACCCAAGGAAGGAAGCGACGGCGACGCCGCACCGCGCCAACCGCGGTGCCGCGAGCGGCGGCCTGGCCGACGCAGGCGGCGCAACTGCGCCGAGTCCCCCGCGAGCCAGAGGGGGGCCCGGGGTACCGGGGCTTACGAAGAGGGGCACAGGGAGTAGAAGTTGGACAGAGTTCCCGCCTCAATCCCGCAAGATGCCTTAAAAACGAACACACCGGGCAACACAAGCGAGGTAACGGAAAAAATCGAGATATAGAGTCAACTATCGAATTGGATGGCGACTCAACACAAGAGGGCCGGAACACACAGGGCACGTGTAATCACAGAGGAGCAGAGATTAGAGAAACACTAGTGACACGTGTAATCACAGAGGAACACACGGAGGGGGGGAGGGGGGGGGGGACACACTGGGGGGGGGGGGCGGTGCCGGGGGGGGGGTCCAACCACCCGCTATCGCATCACTCCCATCACCGCTGTCCGGCCCGCGGCTCCGCGCTGACGGATTCCTCGGCGAGAATAATAAATAACTCGGCCTGTCAAAGCCTTGCCCCGAGAAGGGATTAGAAGCATCAATCCGTTTGATGTAACACAAGATGATGAATTGAGACATTAAAAACACAAAACGCATAATTTTTTTTGTTGAACCTGCGCGCGCTCGCGCCCCGGTAACCAGGACTTATTGCCGGGATTTCGCGGTTTGACGCGGGGAATGTGACGGAGCTCTCGAGAAGAGTTCGAACGTCCACCGTTGCATAAATCCGTCAAGCGGTGCCACGGGGAACGCACGATTCCGGAGAAGGCCAAAAAAAAA